GAGAGAGAGAGAGAGAGAGAGAGAGAGAGAGGCTCATTACTCGTAAGAAACTGGATGCTGTTAGGACTACCGCAGAGAGAGTGTGCAGGGTGGTGGGTGGAAGAAGAGAAAACCCATGCACAGACTAGAATATGTCTCTAGAAAGAGCACAGGGAGGAAGACGGCTGGCTGTGCTCCGATGAATGCCTTTTTATAGCTCTGATGCACGGAGAAGAAGCATACAAAGAGGAAGGGGGAGGAATTGAAAGAGTAGTTTCACTTTTTGTTCTGAAGAAAGAAGACGGCATGGCCTTGGATACACCCGATATGTATTTCAAATGGCCTTCCCCAAATCTCATTCCTTCCTTTCCTGTTCTTCATTCCCCCCCCCCCCCCCCCCCCCCCCCCCCCCCTTTTTTTTTTTTTTTTTTTTTTTTTTTTTTTTTTTAACCCAGGATTGTTATAGAGGTCAGATGCCCGGCCTGACAGTACAACTGGTAAATAGATGACGAGTCTTTTGTTGTTTGTACTACTATGTACTATGGATTCCTTTTTCTTCTGTGGAGCAGCAAATGGTCAGGTTCTTCCCTTGATTTTGTCAGTTTCTTTCTCTCCCCAGTCATGCCAAGGTCTAATGCTTCTTATCGTTTTCTCGCTCCTGTGTGTTGGACTTCTGAGGGGTGGATTGCGAATCGCGATTTGTGATGATGTTTTCTCAGTTTTCACGATCAGCGGTCGATGAGTTTTCCAACATGACGACCGTTCTTGGTATAGTGGGGGATCCCCTTCGATTTCTATTCCAGCCTCTACTTTATGACCATTTCCCCCTTAGGGACTGTTATATGTGCATGTTATGGTGGGTGATCGTTTTCGGACGTGCTCAGCTGAACACAAGTTGAGTCAAGGGAGGATTAATGGTAGTCCTTCGATCCAGGACTACCAGCATTTCTCACGGAATTGCAGCGCAGTAACCAGAATTCGGCATTTATATCTTTGTGTAAATATTGCAGGTGTGGAAGCTCAGCCCATGTGACATTTGTGAGATTGCAAGGAACAGTGTTTACCAGTCAGGATTCTCTCACGCTGTGAAGGTATGTCGCTGTTCTTTAAACGAGCCTGATAATTGCTGTCTTCCCCCACCTGCAACACACTCTCGAGAGGACAGACCCCATTGCTACAATCGTGTGTGCAGAGAGGGTATGTATGGATGACTAGAAGTCCTAAATCAGCACTACAATCGGGTCTGGCGTCCTTCTTCCAACGCGTGCCAAGCTTTACTGGACTGCCAGCGGTGCACTTTTGTTCTTTTTTGGCTCGCGCCACCAGCCATAGTCGTCTGGTAGCTCCCAGCCTCTGAATCTAGGCGATGAAAGATTTCTCCACAAGGTTGGGGGCGTGCACTGGTGGGTTTGTGTGTGTGTGTGTGTGTGTGTGTGTGTGTGTGTGTGTGTG